TTTTTTTTAAGATTTTATTTATTTATTTGACAGAGAGAGAGACAGCGAGAGAGGGAACACAAGCAGGGGGAGTGGGAGAGGGAGAAGCAGGCTTCCCACGGAGCAGGGAGCCCAATGTGAGGCTCGATCCCGGGACCCTGGCATCACGACCTGAGCAGAAGGCAGACGCTTAACGACTGAGCCACCCAGGCGCCCCGGGACATTTGAATCTTTACAAGTCTGACCTCGGACGCATACGGGCCCTTCGAAGTCTGGCCGCAATGTCTCCAGCCCCACCACTCCCTGTGCCTCTCCTACACTACACAGACTTGCTCAGGATCCCCCCCCCCCCCCATCAAATGCATGGTGCTTTCCGCCTCCCTGCAGGCTGTCCGGAGCACACCTCCCCTGCGGACTGCAACTGCATTCTCTCACCTCCTCCCCCAGTGGGAGGGGCTGTCTCCCTCTGAACACTACAACGCCCAACTCAGGGTTCCAGCCTCCTTATTCTCAATTGCCTGCTGCAAATCCTGATTCCAATATTTGCTAAGTCTTTGACCTTGGGCAAGTGACTTTATCTCTCTGGGCCTCGGTTTCTCGTCCGTCCAATGGAATAGTGCTACCTCCTGCGCAGGGTTGTTCTGAGGGTCCAGCATCATCACAAAGACCACGGTCGATGGTCAGGTGCAATCAGCATGACTTTCTGCTCTCATGTTTATAGGAATTATCTACAGGGCCCATCCTCTGACTTCATGGTAAGTAGACACGCATAACCCCAGAGCCCATGGCACGCAAACATCCACGTGCGGCCGACCTGCCATGCCCGCTGCTGAATGCGCTCTGCGGCGTTTGGCTGCTCTTCACCATGTTCCAGCTGGTGTTCGTCTTTCCTGTAATCATTGCCCGTTTTATTCCTCTGGCTGAGACCTCCAGAGGTAATCCGAGGTTCTTCCATCAAGAGTTGAGGTGCCCCCATTGCCCTTATAAGCTAGTTGCAAATTATTTGACTCTTATAAAACTTTCTTTGTGTGTGTCTGGCACGTGTTCATGAAAAAATACATCTAAGCAAAAAGAAAAAAGCTCACACCACACAGGACAAGCAGTTAAGTTTTCGGTGTACGTCTGTATACGCACATGCTCCCGCACACACAATTTGGGATTTAATCCTACATTTGTGAGCTGATACTAAGCAGACTGCTTTGTAACCTGTCGCGTTTTCCTTTACAGTATAGAACGAATATATTTTCATGCAGATGTGTGAAACTTTCCGGGTGAAAAACAGACCTGGAGAATGGGTCAAAATACAAAATCCAGTGCGATGCTGGTAACAAGGAAAGGACCTAACACAAAATTCCACCAGATGATTAAAAGTAAAACAAAGGTCAAAGGTAAGTCAGAAAACACCACCAGAAAGAAAGTAGGGGCCGAATAAGAAAGTAGGGGCCGAATTTTCGCATCAGATGAAGAAGGAATTCATGGCCTGGAGCACACAGGGTGAGGGCGGCTGAGGGCTTGTCTTGGCCTCCCATGCATCATCGCAAACTTGTTTCTTACTCTTCCTTTCTCTTCCCTAAGCCTTTCTGGCTCAGCTACTCCTCTTGTCCTGTCTCCAGGGTCCAAACGCCCCAGGGGAGTGTCCTCTTTCTACCCCTGGCCAGGTTGGGTCAGCCCTCCCCTGAGGTTTTCTGTGCGTCCTGCTCACACCTCCTCTGCCTCCCATGGCCCAGCTTTCGAAGGATGGTCTGCCTTGGCCTTTGGCACCTTCACCAGACGTTTGCCTATTGAACATTTTTCTGTTATTTCTTATGAATTTATGAATAAATTAACCCTGCAGGGATCCAGAGCATTTTCCTGCCTCTTCCCTCACTCGATGTATGTCGGGCCCAGGAGACCAAGCGTTCCGGAAGGATCCGGGCACTTCTCTCCTTCCCCAGCAACACAGAGCTGCATTACAGCTGGTTTTTGAACATTTAAAGTATTTATTCCTCACAAAAATCCTGAGCTGAGGGCTAGCTGGTTTTCCATGTGAAAATATAAACCAGGCTTTGACATTTCTTGGTAAAGTTTACATATCTGTAAACAAAGAAAAACATGAGTCTGAATAAACAGTTTTCTCCAGGAAACGAGGCGACCAGCGTGTCAGGAGAAAATATTCACTCTGAAGAAGTCAGACAGGGACACTTCCAGATCCAAGCTGTCTGAAGTCACTAGCTTGGAAGCCACCCCACCTCCTGAGCCTCAGGGTCCTCATTTCTGTTGGGATGTTTATTGAGCACCTACTATACGTCTGGTCCTGTGATAATAGCTGGGCACACAAAGAATAAAATACAAGCCCTCCCTGCCTTCCCCCCAGGAGCTCCCAGTGCAGGAGGTGTGTACCCAGTGCAGAGAGAGAGGCAGAGGCGCTGAGGAATCAGAGCAGTGTTGGGGGGGCGGGGCTCAGGCAAGAGAAGAAACCCCTGAGACCAACCATGAAGCTGAAGAGGCATTTTCCAGGGAGAAAAGGCCAGGAGAGCACGGCAGGGGAGGCAGAGGGATGGCGCAGCGTGTGCAGAGCCCCATAAGCGTGTACGTGGGTCCAGCAGCCGGGGAGCCAGGGACGGAGGTGGGTCCAGGGCGTGGCGGGGGCCCCACACACACCTCGGGGAGGGACGAAGGCAGCTGGAGACGGGGCAAGGGCCAGGTTGGGAAGGCTCAGGCGCCAGGCTCAGGAGGCTGGCCTCTGTCCTGCGGATAGTGGCAAGGGGCTGAGGACTTGGCCCAGGAAAGAAATGGGGCCAGTTAGGTATTTGAGGAGACTGACTCGGGCTGCAGGGTGGAGGCCGGAGTGGAATCCGAGCTCTACAGTCATCAGGCAGGGGAGCGAGGGGTCTGCGTGAGCAGTGGGTGCAGAGTCGGGAGGGCTCAGAGTGAGGAACACTCAGAGGGCAGGATGGCCAGGACAGGGAGGGGGCTGGGGGAGGGGGAAGGGGCAAGTCCAGGCTTCTCCTCTGTGGCCCCACAGATGACGGGCCCCCATGCCACCTCCCCAGCATGGACGACACCGTCCTCTAGAGGCGTGATGTTCTGCCCTCCTGCTGGTCTGTCAGCTGCCAGGGCAGGGACAGTGGCTGAGATGCCCACTGAATCAGAGCGCAGCACAGAGCAGGCCCTCGCTCACAGGAACATCTCTCGTCAGGACCAGGCAGGTGAGTGGGGCGGAGGAGCCTCTGAGGGACCGATGACCTGGCCTGTGGACATCTAAATAGGGCATCCTGCGGGCTGTGTGTGTGTGCGCACGCATGTGTGTGCATGTGTGTGTGTGTGTGTGTGTACACGCATGGTTAGCAAGTCGTGTACTGCTGTGCTTCAGGCTGGGCCTCTTTCGTCCCGCTCCTAGGTGGGGAAGGACAGGGGGATTGTGAGAAAGGTGCAGCTCCAACAGGGGGTACGCGGAATGGCTGCCCAGCAGGCGAAGCCCGAGCCATCATCCGGAGAGATGGGGTCACAGCAAAGGGACAGGGGCTACTAGACATCATTGCAGCCACGCCTCAAGAGGGCCACCTTACCAAACGCCTCTGACCTGTCCAGACAGCCCGCTGCTGCCCTAAGCTGCTGGAACCCCACTGTCGAAAGCAGTTTTCTCTTCCGAATATTCATAAATCAGAGGAAGCCGTGTGTTAGTACGTGCCCACCGCTGGCTTCACTGGGAGACCGTGTAATCCCTGAGCTCAGCATGTCACAGGGTTTGGACAGGCGCAAAGGGTGGCCCTTCACCCCGGCCACAGGTCCACAAGCCCTCCACCAGGCCCTCCCCTGAGGGGCGGAGGACCACGTGTCGGGCCGGGCCCTGGGGTCCTGCAGGGATCCTCGGCAATGCCCAGACCCAGCCCTGCCTTCTCAAGCACGGGCTCCAGGCTCCACGTTGTCGGTGGCAAAACGGAATAACAGTACTTCTCTCCCCTAAAGAACAACATTCAGTGCTGCCGACAAACGTTTGCTGCGTGTCTACTGCGTGCCGGCCACCGCTGTGCCCGACAGTCCCGGGGCGTCGTGGGGCTGAAACCGGATCTGCCCCGACAGCGACCCAGCCCGCGCCAGCAGGCTGGGGGGCCCCGGGCAAGCTCTTCGTGCTCTGCGCACGTCAGCTCCCAGGGCCTGACTTCACATCTGGCTCAACGTAACAGGTGCACAAGGAGTGTCTGATGAACAGAAGAATAAAGTCCCCCGTCCATCGGTTAGGGTCTAGCTGCGCTGCAGGGTGCCTGCCATCCAGCAGAGATTCACCGACCTAACATTGAGTAAAAGGATGAAGTCACAGGAAAACACACGCTCTGGCACCATTTAACAAAGTCCAAGCGTGGACAGAACACACCTTGGCGGGAAAAGTATAAGGCAGAGCAAGGGGGGCTGACACTGTGTTCGGGACGGGAGCGGTGGCCGTCTGAGTGTTCGGCAGGTGGGGCAGGAGTGCCCGTGTTACGATTAGACATATTCTTCGTAAATACGAAATACTTGGTAAATAGGAAAAAAGAGAAAGCCAAGGGCCTCGTCTATTTCTGGAGCAGCATTGTGTTTAAAACAATGCGAGTGCATGGAGAGCACTTCCCCCACTTCAGACCCCACGCACCTGTCCCAGACGCCCCGAGACAGCGGGCAGGCTGAGAGAATGGGGACAAAAGGTGACTTCCACAGGAAACAGGGAAGCCAGCCCTGCCCGACGGGTCGTCGGCTGCCGCTGTGGTCCGCTCAGGCGGGAGGAGGGGACAGATGTGAGAACTATCTTAACCCATCCAGACCGGGAATCAAGACAAGTAAAAATAGACAACTAACAGTAAATGGGTGGAAAAGAGGAAGTCAGGCGCTACCCTGCACTTGAGGGAGGTCTGAGGTGACTCAAGGTTATTTTCTTTGGCACCTGTGGTTCCGGCTGCCCTAGAATGCTCTTCCCCCTTCCCTCCCGGATAACTCTGACTTACCTTTCATTGGTTCAAATACCACCTCCTCCAGGAAGCCCTCCTGCACCTGCCTCCCTGCTTCCCAGGTTAGGGCGACCCTCTGCACCCCAACACACCTCTCAGGCCCTCGTCATGTTCCTCTGACCATGAGGCCCGTGTCCTCTGTGCCTGCCCCTGGGCTTCCGACCTACTGGCCAGCCTGCCCCCTCACTTGCTCCTGGCTCCGGAGCCTCGGCGCAGCCCCTCTCACACGGCACTTTTCAGAAGACAGTGTGCTGCCCTACGTTCCGCCCAGTGCAAAGGGCACGAGCGTTGGAGGCAGAAAGACCCTTACAAGCCCACCCTCCACCCTTCGCCAGCTGCAAGGGAGGAGAGCCAGGCAGACCGCATGAGTGGTGGACCCTTAGTACAAGACAGATGCCCCTACTCCACCCTGCCCTGGACTCTCCCCTCCTTGGGACCCTCTGCAACACTACCCAGCCTGGCCGGGGCCGACAGAGGTGAGGGGCAGGCCGTGGTAATGATGGCAAAGTCTGCTGACTCTTCCCCCAGTCGGTGCTCATGTATACACATGCATTCTCTTATCGATTGTCTCTGCAACACCACGACAATGTGCCACCCCATTTGGTAGATCAGGACCCGAGGCTCGGCCAGGCCAGCCGCTGACCCAGGAGCGTACAGTGGTCAGGGTGAGGATGCACACCTGGGTCAGCCTGCCTCCGAAGCCCAGGCCCCTGCCCGAGGCCGACCTGCTTCTCTGGGCGTGGCCGGAGCCTTCCCCGGCTGGACAGGCTCACCCCGTGGGCCCCACCGCCCCTCTGCAGGGGTTCTAACATTTGCTAGAGAGTTCAAGGCTGTCACCTCACGGTGCTTTGTAAATCCAGTTGGGGCCTGTCTCCCCACACATAGTGCATTTGGCATAGACACTGGGGTGGGCTGGTGGCCTCCCTGTCTCCCCACCCCCTAAGGCAGGGCTTCCAGCTGTGTCCTGAACGAAGCTCAGAAAGGACAGAGCAGGGCCTCAGAGACTCAGAGGGGA